TGCAAGCAGCTTTATAGTTGGCTATCAGGACTTACTTTCTCAATTTGGCACTACCCTGGACCACTGGGAGAATATTTCACAATGAATCATTGGCAAATCTGATACTGAACGTGTTTTAAGTTAACGGACTCCTTGCACAATTAAGCCTCCTTCACTCATCTCCCACGAATGCTACCGTTTATTTGCATTTTAACGTGGCTAACCATGCTCCTGGTTTCAGCACAATGTTAACTTTAAATTCGACACGAAGTTCCCATTTTCTAAAATGAAATTTCAACGCACATGCATTGATGCACAAGTTTCTTGTGAAGTGCACACACGCACAACGTAATCAGTTATGCGAAACCTCTGAGCTTATCCTCTCATCGTCGTCTCAGCGGCTTCGTCTCTAACAGCACTAAGGTTGAGCCAGGTACGTTTTGTGACGTGTAGTTTCCGAAGCATTCGTCAAAAATTTAGTGGGAAAGCAATCGGCGTATCCTGAGGTAACACTCAGATCGCTACCACTCATGTTCCACTTCTAAAATTCTTGCACAACTCTAAAAGTACGTGGCGCAGTCAACACCAAATTGTTGTCGAGCCTATAACCTGTATTCGAATTCACAAAAGTGAACGTCAAGATATCAACACACTTTTTGAATGGAACTTTGAATTGATTTGGGTTTCCCAATGGTCGCCTGCATCAAATAGAATCAAAATATACTTTACATTTAGGCTTTTACCAGCAAGCCTACATTTGCCAATATCATTTGGTCTTAGTCATAATTATGCCATTGATGTTTTGGCTTTTATTTCGCTTGTACAAAGAAGTGAGCAAATTTAGAGAGGGAAAGTGTTATTATTTTCAGCTGAGAGTGGCAATTAACTGAAGAAAAGGTCCAACATCAAATGTCCCTGCTTACAACACCGCGACCTAACAAATGCCTGTGAACCAAGAGTGCGGACCAAATCCCCCTAACCATCCAATCGCGTCGTAGCAATTAGGGCTAGTTGGTACAATTGCTTGCACACGGCGACAGATGAGAACCCCGCTTAAAATCGATCACTCACTCCACTCCACGTATTCGAGTGAATGCCAGAGTGCACCTCTCACTTTGAGTGTAGTAATTGCTGGCAAAAACCAAAGCGTGTTGCGGAAGTGGCTCAAGGTGATACACAATAGCTCGTCATGTTCACGTTGACGTGTACGATAAATGTCAAGGAGGAAATAAAATGGCACTGCACTGTATAAGTATTGTCAAAGATTTCGCATTTGGTGGAACGAGAATCGTGAATTCACATCCAAAAGACACTTGAAGAAGTAGCCGACTTACCATGATGATGTTGATGTGGAGATGGCCGACCTTGCATTCAAACAAGAGGGTCAAAATAGTTAATTACGAAAGTCTGAATTGGGAACATGGAGACTCTGTTAATCAGTCCGAGGAATTTCAACTGAAAAGTGTGCTGGGACAAAATAGCTCAGATCTGCTTATGCGTGATTGAAGTCTTCCCAATTCAAACGAATTCATACAATGTATTATAAGCTACCTTATTCATAGATATCTGGTAGTTGCAATTACTCTAATTAATTAGATTTGTGTCTGTGAGCCCTATCTAGCAGGAAACTGTGGTGTCGTCCTAATTGTATTCATTTATTATTGTTTGCATCTTATTTTAGCAAAAAATAATTCGGTGCAGAATTATAACTCTCAGTAAATATATAAACAAGAATGGAGGCTTACCATTGGTGTGTTTAAATTCGTGCTGCGATTCTAAAATGGAAAAAAAGCAGAGAGAAATGGTTGGAAAATTGGGATAAAACTGGCTTTTTAGTTTTCAGAGAAGCTAAGCAAAATGGTAAAATTACGTGTGCTGTCTGGCTGAGGCATGGTTTGAGCTCCTGGTTAGTAGTTCCTGCACCACTATAAATCGAAACCTTAGTGAGCCGAATTCAGGTGCTGCAACCAATCGGAATTCGGCAACTGGTTTGTGTGTTCTTGAGCCATATTCGATGAGCGTGAACAAAGGATATTCGACACATTGCCAAGACACTTCACACAGCTGTCACACACACACACACTTCATCGAGAACCGCTGAGGACTACTCTTAACAGTCACGAACGCCTTCAATCGACCTTTACTTACTCGCTAACTATCGTCATAGTCCTGCAATTAGAAGCCTCGTGTCATGCACCAATATGGCACTATTTTCTTCCACAGTAAAGCTCTTCGGGTTCATGGCAAAACATTGCTGTTATCTGCTTTACTCCACATGTGGAATGCTGTCATTCGGCAGTAGATATAGTGTAAGAATATTTTTGTAAAAGTTGATTTTGGATAATTCCATGGTCACATTTGACGTACTCCAACAATCGCACTAATCGCCTCTCGAAATTGCTCCATCTGTGACCTTGCCTCAGAGAGTTAATCCAGCATTCTTGGCAGTCATTTGGCACCGCTTCCGAATGCTGTGCCCACTTCACTTCACGTCCTCAATAGCCTTCATGCATTTGAGCTATTGCGTGCCACTGCGTATCATCCAACATCCAATTTTCTAGCCGATTTAATGCATCAATTATTGCAAAAGACGCGTCTACTAACTGGTTGGCAGAATTACCTTTAATTCCCCCTAACAGTCCATCAAGAACAGGCCTTTTGTCTGTTAACATAGTGTTACATTGTGCAGGTAACCAAGACGACACACTCGGATAACCGGTACCCCACATCCCATGTCTGACGCTAGCCCCCACCTTCCCACGACTATGTATGACAAGACATGATCTTGAGCAGCAAGCGCTTACTGCCTCAACCAACGGCCGAGGAATCTGTCAGAATTTGCCTATTTGCATTAGTCAGAGATGATCTCGTCCTGGTGTATGAAGGCGGATTCACACAGATGGGTTCGTCAGTAGGTGGCCGTGGGTGATTCACTCACTGAAATGGCGTGATTAGGAAAATTGTATGAGTAATGACGAGTCCCTAACCCGTGATGGGCCGTCTTCGTAAATGCTGGATCCCCAGAACATAATTACCGAAATGTCATTCTCAACCATGGTTTAGACAGTTATGGAACGTCATCAACGAAGCTCAGCTACCTCAATGCTAAAACCTATAAATTCAGCTCGAATATCAATCCGTTTACCGCGCATCCCTAATTCTGGACACTCGTGATCGCATCTGCAGCTGACCTACTTCCGCGCATGCACAATTAATTCATGCCGATAATCGACACTGATGTTAGCGAATTTCGATGTGCTCTGAGGATGGATCGTCTAGAAGCTGCCACCATGGTCAACAGCTATGTTAACTCGAGCAGTGTTTGCTTCAACCTTTCATGCCTTCATTACTTTCGACTCTCCCAACTTCGAGTTTGAATCAACTGCAATACCTTCTAGCTATTAACAAAATTAATAATCTTTAGTGGGTGCAAATCGGGGAGTAAACTTGTTACACTTTATTCACTACAGCAAGCTCTAAAATCTTGTTACACCACCGACAACAACCCGCAAAAATTGTGTATCTCACCACCACACTGTCGCGGGCTTTCGCAAAGGTAAGCACTTTGTAGGTTTAACACCACTGCGGACAGAACGCAACGATGAGCCAACTGTGCCTGATATTGCTCTTGTAACATTTACATATTAGTCTCGATTTATCAGTTGCTTAAATTCTGATTCATACTGAACAACGCTTACAGTTAGCTCAGTAAACGGATGTTGTTTAAGGTGTCCAAAGAGGTGAGCCGCCATTTCCTGCTTAATGGCATAATTTTTTATTGTTTAGAGAAACATGTATACGTTGTCGAACGCACCGAGTCGTCCTCTTTTCATTGCGGCTTCGGCATGTCTGCCCGTGTTTATAACGAAGCTCTTGTGGACGTTTATTGTTTGAAGTCTTTGAAATTGACCTTAAGAGTGCTCGATTGATTGATCTGAAGAGCACATTTGTTGAAGTGACTTTCATTTATTGGGCTGTTGCTCACACCTCCTTCACCTACTGGTTGTAATGCTAGAACAAGGCAATAAATCCTAATTTACTGAAATCTTTCTTAAGTAGTCGTTTGATCGAAAAAAACATTCCGATCAGCTAGACTCGTTGACATAATCAGTGATCTTCAACCATTTCAGTTGC